AATCACGGAAATAACACTGGTCGCCCGTCGAAATATCTGTCGAGTATACATTGAGGATCGAGGATTGATTAATGGGAGGAATACGAAAATCTTTCGCGTTTTGTATGCCTGGCCCAGACGTAACCTGTCAAATTATCGTCGAGGGCTTCCTTTTTGCAATTGAAACGACGCTTTGTGTTTAAGACAATCGTTTTCAATCGTTGCCCTTTCGTCTGCTCCGATAGTCCGATGTGCATTTATCTTATTTTTCGTCTCCGCACCGTCAATCCAACCCTCTCTTTACTTCTCACAACCGCCAATACCACCTCACAATATCAATACTCCCACTGTCGCCCCCCCCCCCACACCGTTACTTTTAAAATCCATCCGACGTACCTGTAACAGGATGAATTACGGATATTCACTCGGATATAAAAGGACAAGAATAGAGGAAATAAAGAGAAGAAAAAACATAAATCTCCGATAGATAATTGATCTGCGGGGTTGGGAAGGGTTTTACGGTGCGCTTTCCATGTAATAATATAAAATACGGACTGAACGAGAAGCTCGGGGTCTTGTTGAACAAATTTATGTTGAAAGGGCCACTCCATTTTAATCTACTATGAATCCACCCCTCACACTCACATGCGGTGCAAATACAWAAAATACTAATAATAATACGGTAGTTACAATAGTATGTTTAGCAAATTGATATTGTCACTGCCACAAGTCAATAGTAAGTAACCWTGATGGTTCATTTGACGATGATAATAAACAAATTTAATTAGTATAAATAAATTATATTGATCTCACCAATAGATATATAATAGTGTCATTTAAAGGTACCTACTGAAATTATGTTTTCGCAGACAATACTTGTTTTGTTATATTCAAAAATAAATCATTTTCAATTTCTATCATATCACTAAATAATAAATGAGGACAAAAAAAAACTATACAATTGTAAAATTATAGAATTATTGATTTTTAATGGAAAACTGTTAAATAAACACATAGTTAATTTAAAATTGTATAACCTAATAACAAATAAAGTTTATTTCAGAGCTCCTTTACGTATATTATAGGGTCGTTCTATATTTTGTATAAGTTTAGTATATACAAGATAAAAATTATTTAAAAAAATAATTATTCAATTATATATTGTAATTTTCAGTGCTTTTGAAACAAATTAATGTTAGTAGAAACATCAAAGTAAAATATCTTAATTCAAACACTGACATAAAGGAAAAACAATTTTTATCTAATAAAAAATAAATACAATTTGGATATGCTTGCAATCATATTAAGAGTAGTAAAATTTAAGTGCAAGGCCATTTTTCAACTAGACATAGAACTATAGTGTATCACACGGGAATGAATCTCTGTATTAATAACCCAAAGAATAGGATTGTTATTGAATTAAAATATCATGGGACAACATTTCAGTTGACTATAAATGCTAGACAATATATTATGGTTTTAAATATAGTTTGTTGTAGGAACTCCTGGGTGACAAGCAGTCAGTACGTACCATTACCTTTCTAGGACTATACACAYAAGTATTAAAACTATTGCGTTTACAAGTCAAAAAATAAAAATAAATCGAAGCGATCACACACATGGTCAAAATTATTGCAATTTCCAGGATTTTTTATTACCGTCGGTTGTTTATAATACGTTATGATACATTCAACAAACATATTAATACTAGGTAGATAAATATTTCCATCATACTTAATTAATAAAATATTGATATTTGAGTGTAATAGCGTATATATGTATATGTATATATACTAAAATAGAGGTATAACAATCCATTTTTCCACCATTTACCCGACGTTTCATCGATGTGCTTTCCCGGAATCGGTAGCGAGAAACGTGAAGGTGTTTCCCGGAAAAAGAAATTCAGCACAATCTTTCAGCACCTTTTTGTGTGTATATACGCACTCTTAGAGCTAACGTTTATGTACGCACACACACACCACCGTATCGATTTCTATGGTTTTTACCAAAAACGACCAATGTTTTAGGGGTTTGCACACCTTCTCTCTCTCTCACTGGTCATGACTGTTTCTCGCTCTACCWCCAGTACAGTTTATGGTTCAAAAAAATCGAAGGAGAACGGTGGTAAGGCAGCGGTGGAAGCGAAGCGGAGACCCCAGCCCTGTTGACAGCAGAAGACTAATGACCGACCCCGGCCGTATCGCACTCACTAACGTTTTGGTATCGCGCGGATTGTCCTAGCCATATATATATACGTAAAAAGTATCTTTTATATTAAAAAATAAAAATGCATTTATATTATATTTTTATTATTATTATTACTTATTATATTCGTCGCGTTTATTATGTGCATTGTTATGTATCGTGTGACCATTATATTATTTCGCTCAAAACTTCTTTGGTCATCCCCCGTAGCAATTTTTATATTAATTTAATTTTGTTCCACAAACACATTTCTGTCAAATATGATTAAATAATTATTGTTATCCATATTTCAAAAATAAAGAYGACCATCATAGTAATATAAAACGCCATATACAGACATTAYAATAGATAACTATTTAAAACTTGGTATTTTAATAATAATAACCATAATTATTTACGATAAACGAAAAAAAACATAAAGAAAACATGTCACGGCTGTATTATTAGATATAAAACGTCGTTTCGTGCCAGAATAATTTAAAGCCTCCTATCGGGGTAAATGTGTATTTGAACTAATACGATGATACGAGATTAAGGAGGGGACGAGCTAATTTTCCGGAGTGAAGCACCGAGATGGTTTAATCCCGAAAACAGGGCTGAAATTAAACCTTAAATCTAGCGAAATCTCGGTGAGTTTCTTAAGTATTTCCTCTCCCACTCATCTCTATCACACTCACTCACCATTTCTGTGCTTTTTTTTTTTAAACAAAAATCCTTCCTGCATTTTCACTTACACAAATCTTCGTTTTCGTATTTACGATCCACAGACAAAAACAAATAGTGAAAATGGAAAAGTACTCATTCCAATTAAATTCGAAGCGCATTGCTACTGCCAACCAAATCCATTCACACACGCAGCATAGGTACGATCACTTATATACTTATATCAGCGTGTTTTTTCTCAACTCGGGTCYACATAGGTRGCTTATAAATAAAACCATAACCGTTTAAATTCATATTTTAATAATATATCGTACGCATAAATGTTTTTTTTTGTATTTTAAAATTCACCTTTATTTTTCATTTTCTACATAAATATAAATATAAAAAAATAAGAAGTAAATAAAAAATAAAGATACACAAGTGTTGAGAATTAAATTGGCTCAGGATTGACTAAGGCGCAGAAATAAGATAATAACCAACGCACCCTAAGAATTATACGGCCGAGAATATTGCTTTTTCCTTAAAAAAGCCATTAACTCCGATCGAGTTCCTTTCTTTCAATCAGTTATTTATCGCCAACACACCCGGSCCACTACGTTTTCATCCCAAGAGCCTACGCTAAAATATATAATCAACATAATTTATAGAGAATCACAAAAAAAAGAGGAGAAATATTCATAATATTTCATTCTTGTACCGAAAAATAACATTTAAAGAACTTAAAAATTGATAAAAAAAAACAAATAAAAGACAGTAAAAATGTTCTCATAATTCTCACAAGGGGAAATTGTATTTAAAAAATCAGAACAAATCAAAAGATTTTAGCTGATATTGAATAAATTGAATTTGTTTTAACCAACTTATTGTTGGCTGAGCTTAAAGTTTACAAGAGAGGGGTGACTCACAATAAGTCAAAACTTTAAATCAAATGGTAAAGCAAAATAAACGAATACTTTTAAGAAAACAACATCAAAGTTTAAATTGACATTTTTTACATATCGAGAGTTGACTAAGTTAGTTTATCGAAACACTCGATATCATATTTCCAAGCTTTTAAAACGGGAAATAAAGAAAACTGAAAAGCACACACACATTTTAGACAATTCCATATTAAATACGTTTACGGTCGCTCTATAACTTTACTTTCAATTTAAAATCTAATAAATTTCAAAAAATAATACTGCTTTTCGTGAAAAATATATAATTATCATTATAAATCAACAATTGAACAAATTCAAAACCGCGTCGTTAAAAGTAGCTATAGCGTAAGTAATATAATTAGTTCATAACGTTAAGTCGCAAATGTTTCATAGTGCCACTAAATTGTCTATGTTTATTTTTTGCTTTCAAGTTCATCTGTAAAGCTGCACGTCGTCGGCTCATGACAAATAGCCGGTGCATATTATTGTATAATTAAATGCTATTTGGCGTGCAGTGTTCCAACTTGGCCTTAATCGAGCAGGAGATCGGGCTCCGCGAGGGTGAAAAATAATCTAACGTCATATACAGGGATTTTATTCTACTTCTATTTTTTTCCCTACTAGGTATTTTATATAAAGCGATGAGTATCGCGCGTGAAGATCCCGTCATAATTCTTATAGAAGCTGGTACCGCCCTAAGAGACGCTTCGTATAACATCCCTTAATAGGCATCCTTACGGCGGCACCCCTACTATGCTCATTATTCAACCACAGCCTTCAAAACGGAAAATGTCGCACGCGCRAGTGTACGTAGTGTGTATGTGTGTGTGTGGGTGTATATTCGTTTTTTCTTTCCTCACCTTACGTCTGCACTATCACACACGATGATTCAACCACCTCATCTTATCCCACAGTGGAAAATATTATATTTTTTCTCTCACCGTATTTCTGCTCTTGTTGGCCAATAATCGGACGTGGTTGTGTAAATCTGACGATAAATCAAACGTACAACAAATTTGTCGGAAGACGTTTTTCCTTCCCATTTATTCTATTATTTTTTTTTTTTGTCCAAAACCTTTGCGGTGATAAAAAAAAAAATCATTTCTTGGATTCCTCTCTCAAAAAACAAAATATATATGTATACGAACGCTTAACGGATAGCAATTTTTCTTTTCCCTGCCTGCCTGCATACGATATAATAATAAGATCTGGGAAATAAACCAAACTTACCTCTGTGTCGATTTGTTTGTTTGTCGAACATTAACATCGCGTCTTCAATCTGAAACACAAATAGGGATAAAATTAAACACGGAGAAAAATATTATAAATCTCATGATGCAATCTTAAGCGAAACAAAAGTATCAGTGATATTGTAAGTATTAGCATTTACAAAATCTGATAGGTTAATATTACAATATATTCTTGGTGTTTCAGGGCATACAAATATCTTTTAATAATATAATACGACAATTCACAGTGGCTTAGACCGAGAATTGTAATGAAAAACTAAGTCTTTTTTACCACCGTAATTTTTATATGTTTATTAGTGCATTAATATGCATAATATTATATTTAATATAAATTATAAAATATATATTATTATAATTATTATTATAAAATTGCTAATTGCGTAGGTGTGTCATACGTAAAAATCAACACGGACTATATTATTATTTTTATATAACATTTATCTAAAAAAACACACTATATATTCAGAAGAAATATAGTCACGATTTGGGTTGTATAACCCAACGCTCTAGAAAGTATAAAATATCATTCGATAGAATTAACGTTGAAGATAATACTAAATCAGTTTATTGCCAATATTATCAAACATAAACGACTGACTATCTATATTGTTTAAATCTTAAATGTAATATTCATACAATTTCCGTTTTAATTTCGAACTTAATTATTTTCAAAAATACTCAATGTAGTCACGTTTTAGGTTGTATTTTCGATTAAATTTGTAATACAGTGTATTAATGCAAAAAATGTATATTTGTACTTGTCCAGAAACTGATCCATGCATGACTTAACAGCAGCTCTAATATTATGAAGATAATAAATCGCTCACTAGAGAGCCGTCCACAGTAATTGGTTAATGGATGGCATCCTAAATAAACGGTAGACAAATAAGGTTACAAAAGTGCCTCAACAAATAAATCACAGCCAAACGGCCACCAAGTTTACTAATGAACAGGGCGGGGAGGAATAGGAAAATAAAATAAAACATTTTACAAAGTTCGATGACATAAAATCATCCACATGATAATAATATAATATTATATCACGCTAAATTTTATTTTACTTGACGAATTACCAACTATCCGCAACAGCTTTTACAACAATTTTATACAGGGAAGAACGCTGCAGCAGTTCCGACTGGCTGCAGAGGTTGTCAGGCTGTATCTATTTTCAAGAATAGGACGCCAAAAATAACGCTTAAAAGTTTGAGAAGGAAGCGAGAATTAAATGCCAAATAGTGTAGAGATACCATAAACATCTATATAATATATTATTATATTATATAGTAACTTTTGGCCTTCACTAAAAGGTTAAGTGAAACGAGTCAAAAACTTCCAAAAAGCATCATGCCCGAGAATTGCGAAGAGATAGTGGGGGAAAAAAATACATCCAACATCGTTGCTGTAATCAAAAAGAAGAAAAATATATATATATATTATACAAGAGGAGAAAAATGCATACAGCTTTGTGGCCTTGTGAGTGAATTCGAGTGTGCGGCATAGAATCTGTGGTGGACGATGGCGCCAAAGTCTCTGCTGACCCGACTTTTCGGTAGAATGGAAGAAAAAAATATAAAACTTTATAATAAATGTTTATTTTGGTAAACTTTGAATGTGTGACTAAATTCATTCAACCGTTCGATTTTCGGCTCCGTCCCACCGTCAGTACACGATTTTTGCTTCGTTGGCCGAACGATGACGTTTAAACTACTGACACATTATTTATTCGACAGCCAATTTTTTATTTTATATAATATAGGTATTATATAATACACTTCATTTTCAAACGTAAAAAAAGATCTTCTTCAAACAATTATATTGCATATAACTGTATAAATAAAAAATCGCTAGACATAATCGATARATCAATTTGTGTATGCATAGCAAAATAAATAGTTTTAAAATGATCAGCTTACTTTTTATTCTACAGATAGGTAATCAGAGAACTACACTATGCGATTATTATTTATAAAATCCAATTGCTAGAGGTGCTTTTGATAACGAGTTATTTATTACAAAGAAATTATTTTCATTTAAAGTACGGTCCTCGTTTAATGCCGAGGGGCATTCATTTTTTTTATTTTCATAATTCACACTAATACGCTTACGGACGATAGGTACTAGAGAAAAGTTGTTTAACTTTTAAAATTTATTGGTTTAATTTTCTTAAGAGGATGTAAATCGTGACTTCTAGCGCGATTTAGGAACTTTAAAAATAATATTTATATGCATACATATATATATATATACAGAGAAGGGACAACCGTATAACTTTGCATTTCGTTGGAAGTTAAAATCTAAATTATTTAAGAAATAACACATACAAAAGTCACTTCGAATATCAAAACTTTACTTGGATGCGTTATTCAATTGTTTCATGGACTCGTGGTAACTTAATATCTGATTAAGGAATACTACAAGAAACTAATTATATCCAATTACCTACTGATTAGCAATATTAATACATATTATTAGGTATTACCTATAGAAAAAGTTTTATAAAATGTGTCAAACCGTTAAATGTATTTTAACATTTTAACAGTCAATAATAAACGTCAACAATCAACACTAAATAATTTTGGAAAGATATATTAAATGTATTTAAACCAAATAACTTACTATATTTTAGGTATTTTCTTAAAATAACCTTTTGAATTGATAAATATTTTCCGTAATATATACTGTAAGAGTTGAAATAATATAATTATTGTGAGATAAAAATTCACAAATTAAACATTGTATATAAATATAATATAGATATAAAATATATTTCAATGGAGAAAGTTTTCGTAAGACATAGCGAAACATATCACTTAGTTTGAAATAATTTTTAAATTATAAATGGATACGTGTGAGTAATGGATACAATATGAAAATTACCTTTATGAACAAAAATGTATAGTATATTGTAATTGTAATGAGATACTCAATAATAATAAAGTAATAGGTTCAGTTTATAATGTATGAAAATTGTATTTTTAATTAATTAATAATTTCAAATACAAACCATAAATCAACACACAATAAGAAAAATACAGTGGCTAAAAAACGAATGAAAAAAAAAAATTATTTCATAAAAATAATTATTGAATGCGATTTAAATTAATAATTATTTATCTTATTATATAGACGTTCCGTCAAATATATTTAAATATAGACTAAATTCCATTAGTTACGCGTATTATAAATTATAATATATATAATGTACTTTCAAACTCAATTTCCTTTAATTCCTATATTATAAAAATACATATTAATGAACGGAAACATAAAGAAGAAATTATATTTCCCCAACTTAACATACCTACCTTAGAGGGTCAACATTTCTCATTTCATCAAGTTCAGTAAATTCACATTCAACTCTAAATATTACTTGGTAAATTCCGTATCTTGCACTTAGTAACCTCCGGTCGGAAATGTACCACCCCTCGAGAATAATGTGTAAATTTATTAAAAGTGGGTAGGTAGTGATTACTTTCAATTGAAAACGCACAAGATTATATTTTGTTATATAATATAATAATTGAACATTTTAAAGATTCTCCAAGGACACCATGATAGCCTTTGCAAAATTTTTATAAAACTAGAAATTATCTCTTCCGTGCTGTGAACACATTTTTCGTCCCTCTTATATTCACTAAACAATGATTATACTTATATATTTTCCTCTTGTTTTTTTTCTACATTATTTTTCTACCGGAAAACAAAGGAAATCCGGTCTCCAAAGTTCCTGACGCCAGTAACTCGCCGTGCCCCGAAAACGTTATCATTCAGTTTCCGTGCCATTGAGCCGATTTTATTGTGCTCCGTGGTATCAGTATTTTACCACCTCTGTTCTTACTTAAACAGCTTAATSTTCTCTATAGGTCAAACTACAAGACTCGTTTAAATGAGTATGAAAAAATAACGAAAAAAACCGGTGTCTGAAAAACTCTTATAAGTGTGAAAACTTTATCAACAATGAATTTTTTTCCACCACAAATTTTAATTCCTAACTCATCTGTTGCTGGTACCAAGCCAAATTCTAAAACGGTGTGAAAATTGTGGCTAGACCAAAGGATGGTGATAGGAGCAACAAAAGTTGGTGAATACTAAGTTTGGACCCCCCCCCCTCTCACTAGACATATATATAAGAAAACCATACTGACACTTGGGGACTAAGTACTTGTGTCGACGCCATTAATTCCTGAACTATACGTATTTAATATGTTTTGTTTAGGGATACCCTTACAGATTATGATCACTATAGAAATTTGGGAAAGAGCTATCAATATTTACAGTTAACTTCTTTGTAAGGACATTATGGAGGTGAGGGTTGTTTGGGACACACAAAGTTATATCGGCAATTAAATAAACGTGCGCTATATTACCCTCACATGGTTTATCGTCCGACCCTTTAGACATGTTTAGAATAAACACATATATACACATAAACAGTTTTTGTCAGACATGAAATCGTTCAAAATTTGAAATTCAGCACTTTCCCTATCTTGCGTCAGGCCAAACAGTCGTTTCTTTCGGACTACGCTAACAGACTTAACGACGTACTCAAGTATATGTGAATCCTAACGAAAATACAAATGAAGCTCGTCATTTGCATACATGTAGACTAATTATGCATACAGAGGGGGAAGATTTCTGAGCAAAAGCAATATGTTACATACTCATTTTACAACGAGTTTTCAAATCATCATTAAAACAAACTGCATAAAAAATAACATAAAAAAGACATTTTTAACACAGTATGGTTTTTTTTTTTATGATGAATTATTTATTAGTCTAGGCTATATTATGAAAATATTTTTGGTTAAATGTACCTACTAAAATTATATATTTTTAACACACACAAAAAAAAAAAATTAAATAATAAATGCATTACAAACAGTTTTACTTTTGGTAAGATTATTTAATTATTTACTTTGATATTTGTTGGATATTGGACTTTATCATTTAGATTCTAAAKATATGGTTTGAAACGGTTTTTTATGAAATGAAATAAAAATTTTTTATGTCAAAAAAGGGTAAAAATGTA